GAAAGGCCATGTATAGGAGACCCTTGCACGAATTTTCCTAAATCAATGTTCCAACTTTCTGGATTCACTCTCCTACCTCTACTGCTACTACTGCTACTACTGCTGCTGCTGCTGCCACTGCTGCTGCTGCTGCTACTGCTGCTGCTACTGCTACTGCTACTGCTACTGCTACTGCTACTACTACTACTACTACTACTACTACTACTACTCCTACTACTACGATTAATACGAGTACTACTGCTGCTCCTTGCGCTACTGCTGCTGTTGCTGCTGCTGCTACCGTCATTGCTACCTCTACCCACAGGTACCCCTGCTTGTCAACAGAAGGTGTGTTTTCTCACATCGTATCAGATTTGCGGTACTTGTTTGCCTGTTGAAGCTTCATGATCGGAATCCCTCAGTTTCCAGGTCGGCGACTGCACGCTGTCAGCCTTCGTTGACATTGCGTGAAATGCACAAGAAGCCGTAAGTTCGACAGATCACAAAAAGAGAGCCTAGAAGAGATGGCTAAGCACCTGGATCCTCGCCGTGTGCAGAACAAGCAGATCTCCAAGGAGGCTCTCTTGGCCCACTCCAAGCGCTTTCAAAAGGCCGTCCTCAAGTGAAGCTCTGCCTCCGCATTCTACCAAAGTGGTATTGAGGACAACGTTAGTTGTTAAAAGAACCCGTCAACAAAATGCTTAGCACGGAGTCTCTGAGTTGAGTTGCCATGTATGTGGTTTTAAGGTTGTGTCGGTAGGGCTGGGGTGGCTTCTGAGCGCTGGCCAGAAAGCGTCGAACGTGTGGGACCGTGGTTTCCTCCTGTATCCCCGTCTGTGGATGGCCGGCACAAGCCTGTATCCGTTTCTATCCATACATTAACATGCGGCCTTCAAGCCAGAGACCCTGAGCCCTGCAAGTCTGAAGGATGTTGACTCCTTGGGCCAACTTGAGACACTCTGTTCCTACCTGGTGCTGTTTTGCTGGGATTGACTCGCTACTTGGACCCCACATCCTTAACCCTGAAGGCCGCTGCTGACTTCTACTTGCTCTAGATTCAACTAGAGGATCATGACCCATGCAACAGACAGTCTGTCATCTGGCTGCGGCCTTCGCAACTGTGAGCTGGAAGGCCCTTGAGAAGAACAACGTGGGGTGCCACCCTCGGAAAGCCAGATTTTGTGTTTTGATTGGGGGTGTCCGTTTCCTCAGAGCTGGGATGATACCCGGTAGTGCCAAGGATCAAGCTGACCAAGCTGCCTGAGGTGAAGGAGAAGGTGCAGCCATTGAGACAGTGCAGAGCTGGAGGGCTTAAGATTGGGTTTCGCAGTTCAGTTTGTAAGGAGTAGGCATCCTGGTTTGAGGCCCAGTTCTCAGCACACTTGAAGCAGGGCCACGTGGGGCTCGATGACTGCATCGAGATCGTGACCCACACTCCGCAAGCGGCCTAAGTCTCCGTGAGAGCAGTGCCATCCGCCGGGCAGAGCTACGTTTCTTTCACGCGATTGCTCCCAAGATATTACACATGCCGAGGCAGCAGCTGGATACCAAGATGGAACGATTGAGGGAGCGGCTGAAGACAATGAGCCAGCAGGCTTTGGGCTAAAACCAGAGGGGCAGGGAAGATTCGGGCAGAAGTGTCAGAGGGTTGCACAAGGCTTCTTTGGGGTTTCGGCGTGTGTTTTTGTGAGGTTTTGCAGATTTTCAATACAACTGCACAGCCTCAAACTCGGAGCCCTGCACCCCAAACCTCGAATCCGAACCGCAAGAACTCAACCTCGAATTCGGAGGTTTCCCGGCTGGATCATCACTCCGCAGCGGAGATGGAGGTCTGTAGCTTCATCAACGGATCTGCAGGGGAGTATAGGGGAGTGAAATGCCAGCGCAGAGAGAGGGGCATTTGTGTATGCCTCTCCACACGTGGAGAGTAAAAGAGAGGCCAACCCAGTCTTGCAATGCAAGAATTTTACCCGGCTGCAGGCCAGAACCTCCGAGCTCTGATCCCCAGCACAGCTACACACGACACTTGACAGGATCACGCCGACGATGCAAATGTAGAGACAGACAGACAGGACGGACGGACAGACAGAAAGACAGGCAGAGTTATCTACAGTGTTGCAGCCCGAAAGGTAGCCAGCACTAGCGCGTATTTAAGTGTATTTTCGGGTTGGACTCGGATCTTGACCTGAGGTGTAGTTCCTGATCTAAGCAAGGAATAGTTTAAGCACCACGCTGCGCTGTCTGCAGGTGGACCTATCGCTTCTTACAGGCACCCCTTCGACGAGCATCTGCTTCGCAGTTGAAGGGGTTGCAGGGTTTGGCGTCTGAGTCTTGGAGCTGTGGGGGCTGATGGGGCTGCAGGGTGCTGAGACAGATCCTGGCATGTGAGATTATGTAGGCCGTCATGTTCAGAATCTGCTGGATACGCAAGCATGTAAGAGCAAGACAGGGTAAAGCCAGGATAGTGGCAGAGACAATCATTGCAAAGCACACAAGTTGAGAAGGCACAGCATGCCTAGAAAGACATGTATGCATGTATGTATGTATGTATGTATGTATGTATGTATGTATGTGCGTATGTACGTCGGTAGATTGGTAGCTAGGTAGATAGGTATGTAGGTAGGCTGGTAGGCCGGCAGGTAGGTAGGTCGGTGGGTGGGTAGGTACGGCCACATGTGGTTTGCAAACAAGTCGGTAAGCATGGTTATCCCGGACATGCATGCGGAAGATCATTCAGATAGGATGCTGCAACCAAAAGCACTGCTACAGTCTATATATGCACTTACGCGTACATGCACCGTCACCTGTATGTGTACACGTGTGCTGCATACATACAAGTATACACGTACTCGCACTCAGAAGCAGTAAAGCATTGTCGCACTGGGATATCTCAACAATACGGTTGTGTATCAACATGTATAAATGCAACTGCAGTTGCTAGCCAAATAGGGAGTGGAGCATGGTAAGCAACGTGATGGAGTAAATGAGATTCCCTCAATTACCAATGTAGTTTGGCACGACAGCTCTTGATACTGCAAGACGCAGACTCAAAGCTCTAAAGCTTTGGCGCAGAACAACAAATCACAGGACATCGCCGCAAACATGTCAGCACAGCTTCGCAGTTACACGGCTATATGCTTGAATGGGAGGTTGCCAAAGCACAGATGAGGTGTCATAATGTGGCTATCTACATGTTGAACAAGACAACACCATGCCTGTGAGCTGATTCATTCAGCACAGACGGACGACAGTGGTTGGGGGTTGCGAAGTGGACGTTGTCCACCTGTCCCCATAGTCCGAACCCCAGACCTTCTGAGCCCCTCCAATCCGACACGCTGTGTCGCAGTGTGCTCCAGCCCACAGCTCCCGTCTGTGAGGGCAGGGTCCGGCATACGCCAGCGTCTTCGTCCAGGACGAGGATGCTCAGGCCAGGTTCAGGGTTTCCGACGCTGGCTGGGGTCATGATAAGGTTTGGGGTACCAGGCCTTTGGATCCTGGGTTGGTGCCTAGTTACACGATGGGACTTTGACCTCGAGTTGTAGCAGCAGCTTTGAAGGTGTTTGTTGAAGTCTGAGCTTTCGTGTGGACCCATGTCCGCTGCAGGATGAAGAGATGGAAATCAGACGGATGCACGAGCTGGTAGAACAGACGACGCAGGTACTCCAGCAGGCGGGATGGCTCAGGCTGTCAAGGCGTCGTCGAAGTCTACTGATCCTAGGGTTGCAACCTAGCAAATCCTCAACGTCACCAAGCGGGAGCTTGAAGGCAGAGTCCCTGCATCCTTAAGCAGCATCGCAAGAAGTTCTAAGCAGGCACAAGAGGCCATGCAGTGTTGTAGCCAGCTGGCCACTTAACGTCTTTCAGTATTGTGTTTACAGACGTATTGGCCGGTGTTTGTTTGTCTTTTTTTGTTTTTGCTCTTGGCAACCATGGCTTTGATCTCACTTCGCTGAGGCACGCAACGAGCTCATCGCGCTGAACCAGCGTCAGAGATCCGAGAGCTCGGGTACCAACACAGAGGCTGGAGTGTGTCAGGATAAGGTTTTGAGGTCGCAACGTTCCATACCACCATAGCAAGATGCTGCACGGAGCTGGGGAGGATTCTGACACATCACGAAGATGATTTGGCTGCATGAGACATCCCCGTTGAAAGCCCTGGCGCAGCGTCCGGCCAGGCAAAAGCCAAGAAGAAGGAGACGGCCGCTTGCAAGGCGGACTTGACAGACGGTTTTGACTTAGAAGGCAGCAGTTTCGGTCGCAAGAACCTCGAGCGTCCAGCTCAGCTTCCATAAAGCCCTCGCGCAAGGAACAGGACAAGCCTTCCAAAATCCTGACTCTGGAGTGAACGTAGATTTGGACCTTCAGCTGTCAGGCTTTACTTGTGTGGCGGGGGGGGGGGAGTCTGCAGTTTTTTTTGCAAATTCGTGCCCTTCCTGCCAGCACATCGACCAGCTCCTGTGGAAAGCAGAAGTGGACCTGGAAAATGTCGAGGACATGTACCTCAGGCTCGGAAGGGTGCCGCAGCAAGGGCTGAAGCCTGAGCTCGGAGTTCCGAGTCGTACAAACATCTTTTTGAAAGACATGAGAAGGAAACGTTTCAGATGCTGGCCCGCGCTTAAATTTTTGATTTATTCATTGAACTCCCTGAGCACCTACACCCTACTCACAGCGGACGTCGAGATCAAACTGGGATTAGATTCTGGGAAGCTTTCCTGAGTCTAGGAACCGTCAACAAGCTGTCTCAACCCTCAGCCCTCAGCCCTAGCCGTACGCTACAAAGCCACAGTCATCATGCAGTGCCTGAGTGTCGCTGGTTAGGTTTTCGGGTTTAGGGTTGGGGGTGGGGGCTTCTGGGGAATGCACAGGTCAAAAAACACCCAGCCCCGATCGCAAGCTTTCTGTGTTACAGCCTGATGTGGAACAGACCCTCGCAGCCCTGAGCTCAACCTCATTCTCCAAGCCTTGAACCTTAAACTGTAAGCAGGCACATCGACAATCAGAAGGACACGTACTCGCTGGGTCAACCCGACGAAATGTTGATCTCAAGCCTGGGCTTCCCCGAGTCGCGCCGCCATGCAGTACAATCACCGAGTAAATTGCGATACGCAAGCCGTCTCAGCATATGATCTTGCAAGGAAGACTGATGCATTGGAAATGTGTTACGCGGCCGCTGAAAGGGCTTAGATAAGGGCGATGAGTGGGCTGGACGGCCAATTTCCGCCGCTTTTGCTGCCAGCCGACTTCAATCAGACGGTCTCTCGCACGATCTCTGATCTCGAGGACACTGCAGGGCTTTCTGAATTACTTTGGCCAATCAGTGTCGCGACACGGTGAGTTGTGCAAGCGTGATCCAGCTCTGAAGTCCGCATGTAGATGTGGTTTTTGGCGCTCGGCACGATTAGATTCTGCGTGTTTTCTGCTTCTGTGGCGTGGCCGGGTTCTGGTACGGTCTTTTGTTCTGCAGGGAGTGCCTTGGGCTCAAAACTTCGAAGCCGGGCAGTGGCACCAAAGGCACTTGACGAGCACAAGGACCCGGCGGAACCCAGAGAAGCTAGCTAGCACCAAAGGCACCAAAGTAAACCGGTTCATGTTGAAACAGCTCAGCCCACGGCCAGGAGAGCTTGAATACTCAGCTCGACTCGATCAAGTCTTACTTCTTCAGGCGCTAAGAGATGAGTGCCCGTTGAGTTGCAGGACTTAGGGTGTTTAGGTTCTGTGAGTGCTTTCGGACTCGAAGGCCCGTCCCCCAGAATCTGCACTTCCAGACACCACGTCCACAACTGGAGGATAAAGAAACACGGTCTTGGACCGAACAGGTGACAGTTGCAAAGCGGTGCCACGGGGAGCAGAGACTGCCCGCGCCCCGCTTCGCCTGACATGATCAACGGCCGTTGTCAGGATCATGCTGTTGTTGTTGCCGATGATCGGGACGACCGCAGTCTTGACTTGTCTAGTGGTTGGAGTTGGTCGTGGCGTGGTGGCGTCGTCGTGTGTGTTAAGGGGCGCAAGGCACAGTCTCGTTCAGCAGCGCTTTCCTGATCACCCCAATTCTGGTTCTTGGTGAAGAACAAGTCTGCAATCTTCAGCCTGAAATCTGAAAGTCCTTATGTCTTCTAGCACAGTGTTGAAGGCATTTGGCCGCAGCCAAGATCTCAGATGAGCCTTCAATCCTCCAAGCCACCTAAAAACCCAAAAGCCAACGACCGCAACGAAACCTCCAACGACCGAGGCCCCGCACTTCGGGGTTTTTAGCAGAAGCCCTGAATCGGGACGCCCAAAAGGGGCGCGCGAGTGCGCATGAGAAGGGTTTAGGGTTAGTAGCTTAGTATTTCTGGGGACGCTGGTTCACGAAGTTTGGGGGGATCGATTCGTCAGCCGCACATATTGTGGGGTCACGGTAGCATGGTGCTGGAGCTACAGCTACCGCTCATGTAATGAAGTCCACCTCAAAGTTTTCAAGCCTGGTCATCTCCCACCCAAGCTTAATTAAGAAAGCCCCGGTGTAGTAGTAGTAGTAGTAGTAGTAGTAGTAGTAGTAGTAGTAGCAGTAGTAGTGGTAGTGGCAGTGGTAGTAGTAGTACTAGTAGTACTAGTTGTACTAGTAGTACCAGTGGTGGTAGTAGTAGTAGTAGTAGTAGTAGTAGTAGTAGTACTACCACTACTACAACTATCACTACTACGACTACGACTACTACTACTGCTACTACTACTACTACTACTACTACTACTACTACTACCACCACTGGTACTACTAGTACAACTAGTACTACTAGTACTACTACTACCACTGCCAGTACCACTACTACTGCTACTGCTACTACCACCACTACTAGTGTTGGCAGGTGTAGGCATTGGCCACCGAGAGCTGCTCACCCTCATGCATGCATTGGCCACCAGCCGCCAAAATGAAAGCCCTCTCCCCTTAAGGTTCCTGTTTCCGGTGTTTTCATAACTAGCCAAGCCACAGCGAGACCACTTTCACCCCGCAAAAAATAAGCACCTGATCCCGAAAGCTAGGGTACCCGAAGCTTCTTGATTTTGAAGCAACCTGAATTTTGAGAATCCCGCAGGGGGCAGGGGCTAAGGTTCTTACACGGTGGGTTCTTATACAGGACGTTCACTGTACTACTACTGCTACTACCACTGCTACTGCTACTGCTACTGCTGCTGCTACTGCTGCTACTACTACGACGACGACGACTACTACTACTACTACTACCACTACTACTACTACCACTACTACTACTACTGACTACTACTGACTACT